CTCCGTCTCTGTCCGCCTCTCTTTCACTCTCTCTTTCTCTCACCCTCTCCTCTCTCATCCCCGTCTCTCTGGTGGGCTCCTTGCTATGCTGCTGCCTCGCCTCACTGGGTCACTCCGTATTATTATCATCTTTGCATCCCGCCCCCCTCTCTCTCCCTCTCTCCCTCTCTTCTCTCTCCCACCCTCTCCCATTCGCTCCGCCTCCCTCCCGTTTTTCCAATTTCTGCAAAAGGCCCTCCCGCTGACGCTCATCAGCCTCTTTTGGAAACGGGTAAAGGACCGCAGATCACTATCATCGGTCAACATCTCCGCCGAGTTTGCGTTCACCCCCGCCGTCTTCCCTCGCCTCCCTCTCTCTCTCTCTCTCTCCCGCTCACTTTAAATCGTCTGTCAGCCAGTAGGGTCCGCCCCTCCCTCCCCGTGTTGCTGCTAATCGTCCGGGCCGGGGCTCAACTACCTCCACGAGTTGACCTGCCGTTCATCTCGGCCTGAGTGGTCAGTGGTGAACTATCATGTTTGCCACCATAGGGGCCTAGGAAGGTAAATTTATCAAAATTACCCCTACATCATAACTGAGCTGGAATTAAGTATATCGCACAATTTAACGCAAAATATGTTGTTGCCTCGTTTGTTGTTTTTTGGACTGTTTTATTTATCTATTCACGATCCCGCGCAAGTAGTGCCATTGGTGGACACCCTCTACAGCCGTCACTGCGAACTGTAGAATAGCAGCATCGTCTGTCTGAGAATGGGTGTGTGGGGATTTCTTGTCAGCATGGTGTGGCTTCCCGCCTGCCTACACGGCCGCTGCCCGGCGCCTCCAGGACCGCGAGGGTCGTGAAGGCCGGACGCGAGACATCCCCGAAGGCGGGGCCCGAGCAGAACAGACGCCTGTGCCAACACTGTGGCGCCGGCAGCTCGTTCATTTATTTCATTGTAACGTTTGGGAGTCGTCGTACCGCTTCTACGAGCGACCCCCCTCGCCCCTTCTCTTTTCTCTCTCTCTCCCTGCCTCCTTCCCCCAGCGCTCTTCTTCTGTTGCGGTAAAAAGTTTATTGGGTGTCCTCTGCCTCGCCGCGTCGTGTGTGACTGCCGGGACACGGCGCCCCCTGCTCCTGCCCCTGTTACGGCCCCCCACCCCTTCCCCGCCCCTTCTCTCTCTCTCTCTCAAGCTCCCGACCGAGGAATGGATGTTTTTAGGGAGAAGGATTAGTCGGCGGGTTGGAGGGCATGAAGAAACCCGTTGATGTTCATAGGAGCGCCTGCCAGTTTGTCGTCTTTGCCCAAAGTGCTCCAAAAGCAAGCTATTTGTGTAAGAAAAAGATTACACGGCCGCACACTTTTCCAGGAATCTGCTTGAAGTTTGTGTTTTTTCTTCGTATTTTTTTTTCGTTCGTTTTTGTAACATGTTTGTGTTGTTTGCTTGCCTGTTCCAGATTCGACGACGCCGACGAGCAGCACCAAGCGGCGGCGGGGCGGCGGCGTGTCGGACGGCGGCGGTTCGGGCGAGTCCTCGCACAGCGACAGCGTGCCTGACGCTGGCGCCGCCGACCGGAAGCGCAAGAAGGCCAGGACCACCTTCACCGGCCGCCAGATCTTCGAGCTGGAAAAGCAGTTCGAGCTCAAGAAGTACCTGTCCTCGTCCGAGCGCGCCGAGATGGCAAGACTCCTGGGCGTCACCGACACGCAGGTTAGATAATTTTGGGGGGAATTCAATTTATCGGGCGTCCTCATCGGAAACTTACTTGCCTTTAGGCGGATCGTTTGTACACTTGAGTTGGTAGGCGCGTCACAAAGAGATAATCCAGAAAGTACGTCTGTCATACGCCATTACGAACCTGACAGGTTTAGCCAGCGCAAGCTTTCATGGCGCCTGCTGGGTAGGCAAAATCTTGCACTGCATCACAAGCGTGCACTGCGGGGTGGCCTACCCCCAGTCTCGCAGGCGCTGAGCTCATTTAATTTGCAGAATGAATCTAGGAAAAACGGACGTACTTTCAGGGCAATACGAAAGAATATCCTTGTCCCTTTAACCCTTCGACCCAATTAATGCACTTTCCCTTCTACTCTGCCGCTTAGACAAAAATTAGGGGGTGTGCGTTACTTGAAGGGTTTGGAAAGGGAGGGGAAGGGGGGTAGGCGGGGGATGAGTGAGAGGGTAAGAGGACCTTCGCCGCTCCGGCTGTATGCTCGCGTGACAGGCCAAGGCGCGGCGCCCCCCTCCCTTTCTACCTCCATCATGCACGCTACGCTCATCGAGAGGTATAAATCATCCGCCAATAAATGATCGGCGGACCTGGGCGGCAATTCCATCGCATTGCAATGTCTACCCCTCCCTCTCTCTCGCGCCCCGTCAGCTCGGAAATGAAGAACAAGTTTCTTTTCTCAGGGCTCCACTCGTACCCCACAAAGTACACCCAGTCGGCTTCAATTGGCCTTGTTCCTCTCTTCTGGTTATTCGGTACCATGGAGAAGTCTCGCGGCTTTTCCTCCTGCGCGCTCCCATTTGTTGCGCGTTGTCTCTCCTTCCGTTCCTCGTCATTCTTAAATAATTTCTTACATGCATTTCTGATGTTGTCAAACCATTTGCGAATGCGACTGTCGAAAAAAAAACCACAAAACAATTTAATTTAGTTAAAAGATAAATCAAAGCAGGTCACTAACCAATACCCTTCCCAGGTGATTTGGTGCCGCACATATGGCCCATATATGGTACCATATATGGGCCATATGTGATACCTCATATATGATCCATATATAGTATAATATATGACCACATGTGGGACAATATATTCAAACATGTGGGCCCATATATGCTTATATGTTTACAAATATATGACAACATGTGACTCTTCAGCAACCTCCGGGCTTCTATGTCCTGAGGCCTGTAGCGTTCGAAGAACACTTCGTCTACATTAACTTTTTGCTCTGATCACAATGGTGGTGTTTTCATTGTCATATCTGAAGCCGTTCTCGAGATATTGGGAAGGTGTTGGGGGTATTTTTTTTTTACTTCATGAACTGATAGAGCTTATTATTATGATTTACTACATTCAGCCGTTTTACCCTGCGATTTATAGTTTAGGCGTGGCACCGCTTTGAAGTTGATACCCTATATATGGTCCACATGGTATCACATATGGTGCATATATGCTCTAAAAACTTAGTTGTAAGAAAGTATGACACCCTTT